AATACCCACCAGCCCGTCGTGCTCCGGCGCGGCGCGGCGGGAGGCGGCTCGGGGGAGCAGGAGGAGGGGCGAGGCGGAGCGAAGCTCCACAGCGCCCCCTCCCCACTGCGGATGCGCGGCGCGACACCTCCCCCCCTACCTGGTCGGGGGAGGCGGCGGCGGGAATGTGCGGCCCCTCCCGGCGCCCCCAGCCCGGCGCCAAAACAAAGCATTGGGCGCCCGGTTGCAGAACGAGGGCGCTGCAGGCGAGGGAGTGGGGGGCGGGCAGGGGGAGCCCTGGACAGGCCGGACAATCGGTGGCGGCGCGGGCGGCAGAGCCGGGACTTGCGGGGCGGGGAGCTGTCCGCGGCACTGGTGCTGAAGGGCGATCGCCAGGAGCTGTCCCTGCGTCGGGCGCTGAAGCGGGAGGGCTATCGCGGGCGGCCAGGGAGGCGGGTTCCGCGGGAGTAGGGAGCTGTCTGGGGCGTCTCCGGAGCAAAGCGAGGCCCCGGCAAGAAGGCTTTGTCAGGTCCGTTTTTGGGCTGACAGTGCAAGCTGGAAAGGTCCCCACCGGGTAGGGAGGAGGTGCCACAACAGGCCCTGGCAGCATCTGCCTGGTGAGAGGCCAGACTTAACCCAGGCTGAGCAGGCTGGCAGGAGGAGGCCTCCCTCCCTCCCTGCCAGCCCACCCCAGGGAGCCAATTAAAGAAACTGCAATTAAAGCCAGGCCCTGCTGCTCCTGGGACTTCTCCACCAGGCCCTGCCCCGTAGCCCAGGCTCCTGGTTGTTAAGGCAGCCCACACCGTGCGCAAGCCACCAACGGAGGGCAAAGCACAGACCCTGCATGTTGCCTTCCCAGGGAATGTGAGCCAAGAGAAGAGACGCATGGACAAAGAGCCTTCCCCCAGAATGCCCAGCCAGCTACTCTGAAGTCCAAAGTGGGCATTTGAAGGGCAGAAGAGTGTGGCGGCTTATCTAGGGGGGGGGGGCAGCACCTGATGCTCCAGGAGGCCTCTGCTTTGCCCCTTTCTGCAGCATGTGCCATACTGACTATTTCTATTTCTTAAATTTATAGGCCGCCCAATCCCGAAGGACCGGGATGACATTGAAAGAATTAGACTGGCATTAGACTGGCCACGTTGGCTGTGGGTGATAACTCAGGACATTGGGACCGGCGTGGCAGGCCAGGGTCAGATTCATAGTTGGCACATACGTCTCCGAGAACATCTCAGCCAGCGTCCCAGTAGCTGCAGCTTCCCTCCAACGCAGAGACCCATAACCCTCAGTGCCAACATGTGAAGTAACCATCCTCTGCTACCAAATGTGATGTTCCCGTGGTTCGTCCATGAGGCCAATGTTGAGAAAAGACACGGACACGAACTTTCTAGGGATGGAGCGACCCAGATTGGGGGTCTGGTAGCCCCTTTTATTGAAATAGGACAAAGGCAGGAGGAGCAATAGCA